CCTGGGGCCGAGGGGACCGGGGCGCGTCCGCGGGCTCGGGAGCGCGCTGGGGCGGTGTCGCGCCCCGCGTCCGCCAGCACCGGCGTGTGACGGGAGGAACTTGCCGAGAAGCCTCTAATAGCTGCTTATCGTCTTTCCCGCCCCGCCCCGAAGTTAAAGGGAAGAGAGCAGCATGGTTGAAAACTCTCCAGCCCCGTTGCCAGAAAGGGCAATATATGGATTTGCTCTTTTTTTAGGATCGTGGTTTGGCTTTAGTAAGTATCAGCTGTTGAACACTTCACCGAAAAGCGTTGCTTTGCTTGTGAGACAAATATGAGTCTGATAAGACCATCTGACAAGGGTCGAAATTGCGTTAGCGCCACCTATTGTAAGGGTGCATGAGGAAGGACTGAGCATTGTCGTTGTCATTGACATTGTCATTGACATACACTTGTCAGAGTAGTGTCAGCTGTTACAATGATGTCATTGCCTTTTGTGGTTTCCTCATGTTTTGTCTGTCTCTAACCTTATTATGGGGTCTTTAATAATATTACAGAGTCAAATTATTTTAAAAACTTTCCACATTCTCATTTTAGTAACTTTTTTACTTGAATTGCATACATTGTCACTATTTGGTAACCATTGTAGATAGTAGTAGTGCAAACTTCCTGACACAAATACTAAAAAAAAAAGTCAGTCTGGTCAACAGCAACGGAAAATTATTAGGATTATACCAGCATATTTTTTTTTGCCAGTGTAACAGGTGCTTTAGCATTTCACTGGGGATATTTTGCATGCCCAGACAGGACCGAGGCTTGAGAGGGGAGAACGCTTTCACAGCGCAAGAAAAGGTGCTGCAAGTAGACTGTAGTTGAATAATGAAACAGGATCCTGCTGTAAGTCTTTCTCACCCTTAGGAAGTAAGTTAAAGTAAGTGGGTTCCAATTCCTCTCACACGAAGCCACTGCAGTTCAGTATCTTGTGTTACTGGCTCCTAACTTGTTCCCCTCAAGTTTGTTAAACCTTTCTCTGCATTTGTTGTTAGGGAGCAAAATTTCTCAGTATTGATTTTGTTGACATGAAAATGATTAACTTGCCAAGAATCAGAAAGTGTTTCCAGCAACATTTTCTTAACAATTTCATCCAAGCACTGCAGTTCTGCCAACTTTTCTTTCAACCAAATGATGCGCTGTGTGATTTTCTGCTTTAATATTTTCTGCATTCGGAGCCATTTGACATCCTTTTACTGAGGGTTTTTTTGTTCTGCGGTTCAACATGCGAGAAATTCTTGTCTATATGCATAGGAAATCAGAAACTAAATGTTAAATATAAAATGGTATCGTATTACCATCTGCAAAACATTGTTCCCATATTGGGCAGGTTTTGTGTCTGAGAGGCATATTCTACGATGTTTTGGTAGAGCTATTTAAATAGTATGAATGCAAAATACTGTCTCAGAATGTATCAGTAGGGAATATTAATCTAAAACTTAGGAATGAAGTCCAGAACAATATCAATTGTACTATTATGAATTTTTAATTCTTCTGTGCAGTGTTGTATCTTATCTGGGCATATGTTCCTGAAACTTGGCTGTTCTCATTGGGACTGACATACTGGCCTCAAAAGTAAGTTAAACTAATCAAACTCTTTAGCCTGCATATGTGTAAGTATAAGACAACCTTAATTATTTTCAAATAACAAAACTTAGTATTGGGCTTGTATTTAATCCAATTTTTCCTGATGATGAAGGATTGTCTCCTTTGTGAAGCATTATTTTATATAGATAAGTAGCTATGATAAAATTTTTTCCATTGTGTAATGAAAGAAATGATATTTGAATGTTTTTTGATAAATTTGACACGTTGTTTTCAGGAAGTTTGCTGATGAAAACACAGTAAACTTTAAACTGTAATAAAAAAAAATAAAAACCTTCTTAAGGAATCTGTTTGGTGGTTTAGACCAAAGTAGCTACAGTGACACTGCAGTCAGTAATCTTCTTGGGAAGGATGATGATCCATATTGAGAGGTGCTGTTTCTTTTCCACCTGGCTAAATTTGTGGTAGATACTGTAACAACCACTACATTAAAACTGTTACATGATTAGATGTTTGTTATTATGATATGTAAACTTGAAAATCTTTTTCCTCAGATACTGGGCAGTTGCTTTGCCAGCGTACCTACTGGTTGCTATAGGAATTGGTTATATATTACTTTTTGGTATTAACATGATGAGTACAGCTCCACTTAACTCCACACATACCGTTACAGGTAATTTTATTGGAGGTTTTTTAAGCTTTTGATACTTAACTGATAATTGCTGTAAGTGTATATGTGTAGCTGCATGTAATGTAAATTAAATTTTAAGCCTTTAAATATTTTGATCTACAAAGGGAATTCTTGGAACTACTGAAGTACTAGAGTGAAAAGATAGCCACGAGCCTGACCCTTCCCTCTGTGCCATCTTATGGGAGTGGTTTTCAACTAGGAAAGTGAGCCTTGTTAGTAAAACAGACCACGTTAGAGGAACAGGGCTTAAGTGTATAAAGCTCTCGCAGGCATGTGCTGTGCATTGCAAACCAGTGAAGAGTGTCATGGGAAGAAGGGCGTGAGTACCTACCTGGCAGTGCCAGAAGTGGGAAGGTATGCAGAAGTCAAGGTGGTGCAAAGGAGGATGCTACAGGATTGAAACCTGATGAGATATGTTACTGATTCTCTGTCTAAAAAAGCTGTTTTTCAGTTCTTCTCTCAACTTCCGCGTAGTCTTTTTTCCTTCCAAGGAGACCTGTTCTAGTCATTCCTGTTATTCTCCAGGCAGCTGCATCTTCCTCCACATGGTGTTCTATTTATAGTTGGCCGTTTTTGTCAGAAAAAATGTAGACTGTAAAACTTGGCGGGGAAGTTACCTGTTGCTAAGACTGCTGAAGTTGCATCATTTTAACAAACTACATACAGTGTATTACATTACACTGAACTGCAAAGGAAAAAAAATCAGTGGAGGCTGTAGTTCAAATGCATTACTTCGATGAGTCTGTCAAGAACTGCCATTTTGTCATCCCTATGTTCCTGGTTGCTCATTCACACTCTTAGGTCACCTTCTCATTTGTTGTCAACCCAAGAGGTTGTGTAGCTGTATGGCAGGTGGGATGGGGGACCTACTCTTTTTGAAAAACAGCTATATTTGAAAATTTTGGTTTTCAGAGGAAACAGTTCCATAATTGTGTTCAGATTACACCTGTAAAAATGTTTATGCTGTTATAGGAGTGGGTGCTGTGTGGTGATGGGAACAAGCAGCTGAAACAAAGGGAGAGTGGACAGCAACGCAACAGAAATCCTAGTACAAAGCATTCAAACTACAGACTGAGCTCTTCATTGCGGTGTTTGTTTGTTCTTTTGATCTTTGGGTAGTTATGGTTCAGTGTCACACAGCATC